TATAGAATCTAAACCTCCCCTGGCACAAATTGAGGCCATCTCCTCACATCCTGTCTCTTGTTACTTGGGAGAAAACACCAACCCTCGCCTGGCTACAACCTCCTTTCAGGGAGTTGTAGAGAGTGATAAGATCCTCTCCCAGGCCTCATTTTCTCCAGCTCCTTCATCAGACTTGTGCTTCAGACCCTTCCAAAGCTTTGTTTCTCTTCTCTGGACTCGCTCCTTGTCATGAGGGGCCCAAAAGTGAACACAGGACTCAAGGTGAGGCCTCACCAGTGCCCGGCACAGGGGGATGGTCACTGCCCTGGTCCTGCTGGTCATACCATTACTGGCACAGTCCAGGTGCCACTGGCCTTCTTGACTGCCTAAGCACACACTGACTCTTCTTCATCCTTCATGTAGAAACAGAGAAGGAAAATTTCTAGAAAAGAAAAAAGAAGCAGCACATATTTCCCACCAGACTCCCTCACTGCTTTTATACTTTCCCTAGGGTGGATTCGTCACATTTATTCAACGTGGTAAAATCTGCACGATTTGGGGCAGCTTTGTTATGGTATGAACCCAGTAGAAGCCCCAGTAAGGGGAACTGTTTATTCTAGCTCAGTGCACTCCCAGCCGCCCTGGTTATAGTTCCTTTCTGGCCAGGACAGCTTTTGGAGCCTGTGGAGAACGGGAGGTTGCAGCAGCTTTCTGTCTCCACAGCCTGCTCTCCTGGTGGTCTGGCCACCTGGAGAGCTCTCCATCGGGGTGTTTGAACCACGCCTGGCCCGTGCCTGGCCCACAACCTTTCTTAGGCGTTTAACCCCCCGAAAAATACAGGAAAAAGTGTTTTATCTATTTCTACAGCTGCCCAAGATTTTGAGGTTCTTACAAATGTCAGTCCCTGCTCCATGAGGAGCTGTCAGACCTTATCTTGTGCCAAGTATGAGCATGTGTTTACACATAGTACCATGATACTTCATGTAGGCACTTAGTGGCTTGGACATTTACCCTTTTGATGAGCCTGGAAACATCATTACAGGAACTTAAATAGATTAGAAATAGAAGCTAAAAGTAAACAATAAAAGCGCTGCAGCAGTCTTTTCTTTCTCCATGCTACTATTTTAATCCTCCTGTGAAAATCTGGGTAAGCTGATCCCCCCCTTGTAAAAATGTTTCCTTAAAACAGACAAACCTTTGAAATTGGATCTTCTAAGAAGGCTTTGTTATTGCATGACATGTCTAATGGGTAGATGGTTCTATTACCAGGACAGTCTTCCATAACATTTTACTGCTTTGATGCCCTGCTAATGTTGTATTTTGATACATTTCCTCTTCAGTATTTACCTGTGGAGGAACAGCTCTTTCTTTTTATTTTCAACAGAATTTTTATGTGTTTCATACGAAGACTTATTAATACTTCTAGTGAATGGAAGGTTCTTTAAAAGACTCTCATGAACCATTAAAATCAAAGCACATGTGAAGTGAAATTCATAACTTATATTAAAGCATCAAGTTCAGTTTCACTTCCCAGAAGCAAGGGCACCAAATTTTGGGTGGTGGATTTTTTTTTTTTTTAGTGTTTTCTTTTAGTTCTTAACCTACTTTGTATTCTGCAACTTTGCAAAAATCTGAGCCCTCTGACTCTTAGTTTAGTGTTTATTCTGCTACGGAGTGGTACCATGCAAAAGTGAAGAAAAAAATGAAAGAGTTAAAGTAATAAACTACTTGTGCAGTTCTAATTATTACCTCTGGTAACACAAAGAGGTAAAAAAGGTTTGTGCTTGGGATCTTAAAACATGTTATCCTAGAAGCATGTTTGAATTGAGAAACATATCAAATGCTATACAAATACAATTAATGAATATAGAAGCTTTACTTTTATTTTAGTATCTAAAAGTCACAGATCCATTGCAAAGAAAAAGGAAGTGGCTGTGGGTGGGTGTGGTGGTTTTTACTTTCTGCTTAAACCACCATGCCAGTATCTAGTTTTCTGTGTGTGGGAAAGAAGTTGGCAGAAGTTACGTGGGAAAACAGTGAAGGCAAACTGAGATAGAAATAGCTTTGGAAGGTAGAAAGAGTGGAAGTGAGGAAGGAAGTAAATAGGTGCGTCTGAAACTTGATTTTCTTTGTAATCAAGTTGTGCAGTTGACCTTAAATCTTCTTCATGTGTCAGCATCAACTCTGGTGTATCGCAGAATCACAGAATGGTTTGGGTTGGAAGGGACCTTAAAGCTCATCCACTTCCACCCCCCTGCCACGGGCAGGGACACCTTCCACTAGACCTGGTTGCTCCAAGCCCCATCTGACTTGGCCTTGAACACTTCCAGGGATGGGGCAGCCACAGCTTCTCTGGACAACCTGTGCCAGGGCCTCACCACCCTTACAGGGAATAATGCCTTCGCAGGGAATAATGCCTTCCTAGTACCTGTTATAAAAGTGCCCTCTCTCAGTTTGAAGCCATTCCCCCATGTCCTAAGGGATGTCCTTTTGTATCAGAATGGATCAAAACTATTAGATGTCTGTCTGATTTTAGAACAATGTGCTGCACCACGTTTGCATCTCTTCTGCCTCTCCTGCCATTTGGGGAACTGTTAATTCCTTGTGAGAGAGATTTCTGAATGCAGACAGCGAGGACAGCTCAACGTAGGGGCAGCATCCTACCTCAAAACAAAACCAGTTTTGTTCTTGCACAGTTTTGTTCTTGCACTTTGTTGTCTTTGGAAAAGAAACCCCAAGCCCTTTAATTTGTACATGTGCAATGCTGAGTAAAACTGAACAAAAGAAATATATGTTCAAGATGATGATATTGGCAACCAGGTGTTTACTACTCTCTTGCATTGTTGTTTTATTTTGCATTTGAAACTTAAAAAGACAGAATAATTACTTTTAAAAATTAAAAGACCAGTAATTAAGAATGAACAGTATATTATGGTTGTGATAACTGTTCTATTTGGTTTTATATACCTTATGATTAAAAAAAAATAAAAATTGTCCTTTTCGTTTACATATACACCTTATTGTAAAAAAAAAAGAAATATTTAAGCTTTATCCTATATGTGCACTTGTTTTGAATCTGTGATGGTTTTAATATTATTTAATATTTCAATATACTATAGTAATAAATATTTCTATTTCTATATGTATTTCCTATATACTATCTAGGTATTTGCAGTTTATAACATATTTAATAGTCTCTGGATGGATTTCTGTGCTGTGCTTTTAAGTTCTAGGAAGTGTCTGACATTCTAATCCATGTACTTGTGCACTGCTGCATAATAGAGAAGAAATTGTTTGAGTTGTGCCTGTTTCTGAGATGTTGTATAAGATGTTATACAACACAACCATCTCCTTAAGATGCTGATAGTGTCAACAAGGGAGACATGATAGAGAACAAATGCAAAGTATAATTTCCTCGTGCTATGACCAGTGTAGTACAGTGGGTTATGCTCAGATGTTACCAGAGTTGTTCTTGTTGTGCTCTTACATGTATCAGGCTGAAGTTTGTTACCATTAAATTAATTTCAAATGCTGTTTGCAGAATATTGGATGTAATTTCATTACTAGATAAAGAAGAAGAACTCTACTATAGAACTCTTGAGCTGTTTATAGATAAATTACTGTTTTATTTTATTTCAAGGTAGAAGAATGCTTTCTTAAGGAAATAATTGATACATTCAGACACCTATGAAGATTTGAATCTTGCTTGCAAATAAATTTTCTCTATTTTTATAAGAATCTGTAGTGTTATTTTTGGCCTGCGCTCTTTAATTTACAATGAATATATTTCACTGTACAAGTTTTTGTATTTTAAAAACTCAAGTTTAGGAGGAGAGAGAACATTGTATATTTAGAAATGCCCTGAAGAAATACTAAAAAGCACTGGAGTTGTCTTTCACCATAATGATGTAAGAGTGAAATAGCATTTTTTTATTATGATATCCATGCAATGATATTTTCAGTGAGCCAGCGTTGGGGCATTGTATGGGAAATGCTCGGGCTCTGCCATGGATCAGAGGTGCTACAAATTGAAGGTCAGACCTTCAGAGTTTCTGCAGCCCCTGTGATGACCACTGCCCATCCCAGGTCTAAGGAGCAGTCCCAGCCTTAGCTGGGTGACCAGCAGTCAAGGCAGGTGTAAAGAACAACTTCTGACATTTCCTAGAGAAGGAATACCAGAAAAAGAAGTAGAAGAAAAGTAGAAAGAGGAAGAAATACCTTACAAAAAACTCATTGACACAATTCTTTATTTTATCACAGCTGTTGGAGTGGCTTTGCCTTTTGTTTGCAGTATTGTAGGAACACTTTCATCTCTTTATGACCTCCTGTCGTATCATGTTGCAGTGTAGACTTTAAGAGCCTCTCATATCTTATGTATAAAAATGTTTGCCTTTAATTTTTTCCTTCTGTATCTTAGCACTAGCCTTTAGATTTGGGATAAAATATCTGTTGGCATTTTACCTTTTCAAATAGTTATTTGGTAATTTTGAAAGCAACGGGGGCTGCAGATACAGAATTATTTCTAGTGGTGCATATGCTACAGCTTTACCAACTGTTTTCTCATGGAATCATAGAATTGTAGAATGATTTGGTTTGGAAAGGACATTAAGGATCATTTAAAGAGTTGTAGCAAGAGAGGTTGCCATTGAAGACCGAGGCAAAAAAGTTGTTAAGTACCTCAGTCTTCTTGTCATTCATTGTTACCAGTTTACCAACATTGTTTATCAAGGGCATGAGGGGTGTACACAAATGTTCCTGCAAACTGGATTTTCCTCAGTTTCCTCAGTCTTTCATTTTTTCTCACCACATGCTTTAATGTACACTCTTGCAGCTTTTTTGTTCCTTTATTCATATTATTTTGTTTTATAATAATAGCACCACTCTGAGAGATCCATTTCTTAATACAGGTGTATTAAGCTTGCGATTATTCATATTTTCTTCTTTTTGTCTTTCTGAAGACCAGTTGCTTTGTTTCTTTTTAATTTATTTCCATAACCTTGCAATAAACCTCTTTCTTTCAGGTTTTCCCTGGGAGATGCTCGAAGGCCACTCCATGAAACTGCAGTACTGGTGGAAGACATTGTCCACACTCAGCTGATAAATTTGGTAAGAACATAACCAGGAAAATAGTCTTCACTCTAAAACGCCTTCAATCCACATGACATTTTCGTGATCAAATGGCTAATAACATATTGTTCTGGTTTTAGAAACAAATAAAACACAACAACTGAGGGCGATGCTCTGGCCTCAAGAATCTGTAGAACCTCCTATTTGTCTTCCTTGTGGTTATGTCCTGTGCATGTGGGATATCTGCAACCCCACCTAACCCTGGGAATAAAGCTCATGGATTTGTTTGTTAAAAACTTAAAGTTGCTAAAAAGAAAAAAACTGGCAATTCATCTGAAGACTTCCTTGCTTTTTTTTTTTATATTCTAGTATTTGTGTTAATGCATCATTTACTTAGAATTTGTGCTCTAATATTCCTATTATGTGGTGTTTTGATTTCTGTCAAAAAATAATGCAGAAATATGAAACACATGAATATATTGAAAACCAATGAAAGTGTTGTGTCAATGAGGCTGTTTTGAATCTTGTCTGTCAAAAGCAACTCTAAATTTGAACCTCTCTATAGTTTTTAATTAAAGTTCAACAATGCCTCTCAAGAAATCAATAGTATTTTATGACATGACACGAATTTGCCACCTGACATTTTGTATGGAAAGGTATACAACCTGTAGGTTGGGAAGCATAACAATTGTGTTTTTCTTATTATAGTCTTAAAAGATGTGTAGATGTGGCACTTGGGGATGTGGTTTAGTGGTGACCTTGACAGTGCTGAGTTAATGGTTGGACTCAATGATCTCAGAGGACTTTTCCAAACTTAATGATTCTCTGATTCAAAGGAAATTACCACCATGTGTGGGAAGGGACATTATATGGGATTAACATATATAGATAACACTACTACATATTATAACTAATATTTACATCTGATGAGTCCCTGGATCAGCTAGAGCTTTGAGCTGCAAGTTCCTAGATCTCTTCTCTATAATGAGCCCTTTTAGCAATCAGAAGGGTTTTTAAGTTTCAAGCTAGGTCCTGGTCCTACATTAACTAGAACTAAAAACTTCTGTAAAATGGTAAAATTCAGAATGGGGCACAGCACATGTTATAAATACGCATGTGTATGTATAATATATATTTTATATGTGATTCATATATATTGTATATATATTTATGCATATATATTACTATCTACTTATATGTATTTTTATTATATATATTTTTAATAGAAATACACTATACATGACTTTCCCTTTGCCCACTGTTTGCCTGCAGACAGGTGTTTTCCTTCAGCTTTGCACATAATCCAGCAACCATTCAGTAGTTTCCTGCATCTCAGCAAATGCCTTGGCATCCCTTCCAGCTCTGGGCAGTTTCTTTCTGCTCATACCTCTGCAGCCCAACAGTGTATCCCTGTCTCTGCCGTCTCCTGGCACCTTTGTGCCGTGGATTCTTTCCTTATTACGCTCCTCTTGGTCTGTCCTGAACGTGCCCCGTGGCTCCTTGGAGGGGACAGCGTCTCTCCCCTCTCTGCAGGTTTCCCGCTGGTTAAACACGCTGCTCCGGGCATATATATTTGTAATTCTTATTGCAGCTTTAACTCTGACAAAGTAACATTTTCTCTCCGTTAATGACCCGTGTAATTTATGCAAACCGGTGGCCGCGGCTTTGCTCTTCCCTCTTCCCTCAGCAGTAACGCGGTGGAGTCTGCGCTGCTCAGTCCCGCTGAGCTGAGCTCTACACCAAACCCTGGCTTTGAGAAAGTGCAACCTGTGCCCGTGTGGGCTTTGCACTTTAATCAAAGCCGGGCACTTACTCGGGGGCCGGCGTGACCCGGGGTTAACCCTGCGTGGGGTGTAGGAGCGTGTAGGATTTCCTGACAGAAGGAAGAATGGGAACGGAGCGGCAGATAAACAGCTTTTCTAACCTTTCCCCTCCCAGCCCGAGACAGCACTTTATTTGTGAGGAAGTGAAAGTATCTTTAATAGCTCATTGCTTTGACCTCTGACATTCACATGCCGGAACTCTTAAATCAGGAGCGTTTTACATGCTCCGGACTTCTGATAGGGGATTTTGCACATTTGTCATCCTTAGCTGTGTGTCCTTATTGAGCTATTCTATGTAGTCACATGAAATTTTCACTTTAGTTGTAGGTATTTGTGTGGGTATTTACCCAGTAGTAGAAAAATGCTATTTTCATAATTGAAGCTGACTGCAGATGTGAATTTATTGCTCACCACCCAGATTTTGTCATATTACTCATGTTAATGGACTAGGCAGTTCTCACTATGTAATGTAGTAATTTCTTCTCAAAATTCATGTCCATTTTTTCCGTAACTAACACATGTATAAGGCTAAACTGTAGAAATGACTTTTATGCCTGCAATAAAGCTGGCACGTTGCACACATCCTTCATAGTAAACATTTGTAAGAAGACCTTGTAGTTGTTGATTAAGTCCAGGTTTGAGCTTTTGAATTAAAAAAAATAAGTTGCCAGCATGATTACCTTTGATTGGTTGACTTTTGATATCTTGCAGGTTTATAGTTCCAGCTTCCTATTTTCAGAGTTGATCTGAACTCTATTAAATCAGGGTCTGGTATGGACAGATTTATACAGTCACTGCTTCAAACCACTATACACTTCATGAAGTCCGACTGCTGGAGCAGATGGGGCACTAACAAGGCAAATTCCTGGAAAGCAGACTCGTAAGAGTCTGCATCACATTTTATGATCAATTTTTGGGTGTATTTTGAACAATATGTACACTGCTTTACAGTAAGGGGAATTCTACTAAAAGCGTGTAGCAATGTGTAGAAGGAAATGAGCATTTCCAGAGGAAGATTCATGTCATCCTAAAATTACTTTCTGAGTTGAATGAGCTTGTATCTCTCAAGGAATTTATTTTCTCAGCTGACTTATAAAGCGATGCTTTGACAGCTGGCTGGGGCTTGAATATCTAGGAGATAAACCTAAATGTTAAGAGATAAATTCTATCCAATTTGTGTCAGAATGCTAGCATGAGTTTGAATTTTTTATGCTTATATTGTAATTATAATTCTTTTATTATTTGCATATCAAGCAGTAGAAAACCATAAAAACCCTCTGCCAGAAGGAGAAAGTTCTGTACATTTTTTGGTCAAGCATAATGTATTTGAAGAGCACAATGAATTCAAGTTTAGTATGAAATCAAATTCACCGTTGAGTGATCTAAATATTCATCTATAGGTAAATGTTTAAGGGATTTACAGATGCCTATAGTTACTCTAAAACTGTATTTATTTATGTGTGCTAAGACTAGAAGTTCCAATCAAGGCTATATTGTTCTATAGGTTAAGCACAAGTAGCAGTACACAAGTAGTACAGGGAAAATTGTGCCTGCAAAAAAGGTTCAACAGGGATTGCAAAATCACAAAAGGGACAAGCTTCTAAATAACTGACTTTTGGTGTGGAATGAGGCCTCTTTTAGTTCCTTCTTTCATGGTATTCAATACAATCTGCATGTGCAATAAGAAGGTTATGAAGCATCTTCATTTATAATAATTAATATCCATTCAGACCCTTCAAAGGGAAACTCAGAGATCCTACTTTACGACAAATCAATATTATTCAGCACTTTCTCAAAAAAGAAAAGAGTCTGTAACTAAGAGGAATGGAATAGGAATTTTTGTTCATTATTAAACTGTCGCTGAGATGTTTGTCATCAAAATAGCTTAAGTCTTGAACATATACAGATGTAAAATTTTTTGGAAATTGTTTTATATAATATTTGAGAAAGAGGACAAGTTCCTCCTCACCTTCACCAGCTCTCTCCAGAATTTTTATCATACTGGGGTGGATCATAAGAAAATGTAGTCTAATTAGACTAATATTAAAACCTATTATTGTCTTCTCTTGATAGGGCCGTAGCTCCCTGGTTATGCTTCAGGTGTCATGATCACAGGTGAACAGACAATAAGATCACGATGTGCTACTTAAATCAAAGAGACTGCTAATGAATTACCTTCCTGGTGCTGGGAATGTGTCAGCTGGGTGTTTGTTCCCAGAATGCAGTACCAGCAGTTTATTCTCGGGGCGTGCTGAGTGTGGCAGGAGAAGTTTAGACACCTGCTTTCGCAGAATTTGGTTATAGATTTGAACTTCAGTCCTTTACATTTTTTTTCCGGAGATATCGAATGGCTTCTGGGAAGAGATTAGATTTGTTTTTACAAAGTGAAAGATATTTCAGCAGTAGAACAGGGTTCAGCAAGGGAATATGAAAATTACACATATGCACACCAAAAACACAGGTAAGTAACTTTGTCTGTCCATGAAGTAGTGGCTGCTTAGAGGGAAGGCCACAGCACATTGCAGCAGCCTTGGACTGCATCCTTTAAATGTTTTATCTGCTGTAATTCTTTGTAATGTGTGATAAGTCATCGTGGAGGCTGTCATGAATGATAGAATTCATGTTAATAGAATTGTGGTTTGCTCCCTGTCAGCTGATGTGTGTCTGCTGGAAAATGGACTCTGATCTCTTCGACTGATGTCAAATGATTTAAGGCAAACCCACTCAGCTGGCTCTTTTTAGAATGCAGTAGCATCAACTCAAAGGAACTTCAGTTGCCCAAAATCATGTTGAACGTGGTGTCTGTTGGGATTTTTTTTTTCATCATTTACTTTTATCTTCCTATGGAAAAATTTAATTTCATACAACTTGTGCTGCTACTTAACACTATAAATATCCCACTCTTGCTTCCTTTGTAGGTTTGGGTCCCATGTTACATATATGCATATATGAACACTTTGTGTGTACACATGGATAATTTTAATTTTTTTCTTGTTTATTGCTTCTGGAAATTATTTGCCTCTTACACAGGTAACATATTTAATTCAGAATCAGCCCTTTTGTCTCAACCAAAGCGCAAAGCACAGGTCAGCAGGTGAATAATCTGTACTGGAATACACAGATAATATTAATTTGCAGCAGTAATTCATAGGTAGAAAACTTAGAGTGAGATGCAAAGATTCAGCAGTATGCCAAATCCTGAGTAAATCCATAGTA